AGGTTACTTTCCTGGTTTATGTTGTGGGTACTTGGATGATATCAACGTAAGTCTTCATTCACCTTACAGTGAAATGCTACCTAGTTTATTCAGATAAGTTTGACAAAATCTTATTAAAAACAACAGAGGTGGTATTTAACATCAAGAACTCTCATTACCTAAGCTTAGAATATGAAGTTATTGAATTATAAAAATCACATATGGTTGTTTATAGTTTATACCTCAAGAAATTTAATATTTTGGTATAGGTCACACTTGAGTAGGGTATAGAGAAGGGTTGAATTGGGAACAATTTTATTTATCCTTTAGCTTTTTTTTTCTAAAGCAGTTGCAATTAAGATTTGGTAATGAGACTAATTATTATCTGTACCAGATAATGGCTTTTATTCCCCATCCCCTAAAATTTAATAAAATAAAAACAAAATACCAGCAGCATTTTGTCATAAAGAAATTGAGAAACCAGATATTATAGCATTTTTCTCATGGGTTTTCTTCTAAAGTTCAGATAAGAGTGGAATATGCAGCATGAGAACACAAAAAGTCTAGAACTTACCATGCATGGGTTTTCTTTCTCTTTTGGATTGCTTATTTAACAGTATTTGTGCTCATTTTATTGACTGATTGATTTTATATATTTATGTACTCATTTTTTGATGGAGCAGATAGTAACCTTAGAAGATGTGGTTGAGGAGATTGTTGAAGAAATCTTTGATGAAAATGATTCAAAGGTAGGCCTAATTACATCATTAATAACCTTACATCATTAATAACCTTAATGTTCTATTATTGAATCTGTTATTGAAGGCAAGTCTTTTAATTATATAGATAACTTTAGATATTGCATTTTATTATTCCTCAGCAAGGAGATGCTAAGAAAACTTGTTGGTGATGTTCAAAACAAATTGGTATTGTACATGTGCTGCCAATTTTCTACAGATCAATTGAGCTAGATTCTGTTTATTTTTGGTTTTTGGTCTCTTTTAGTCTGTCATGTATTTTGTCTGCATTTTCCATGTGACCAAAAAATTTCATGTCACTTCTCATGTCATGTAGATATTTCTTTACTCTATAGGTCTCATATCAATTAGCATTACAAGGTTGAGCTCTGCCTGATTCTTAAGTGATATGTGTTATATATATATATATAATGATTCTCCAGTGATACTTATTAGATGCATTTGCTGCTAATCATATTAACAAGAGGAGATCCAGAAGAAAATTGGCTATATTGTAATGAGAGCAGAGGGAGTATATGATGTTGAGGCCAATTCATCTATTTATTTGCCATCTGAGGACTTGAATACCAAAATGCCAAAGGTATATAATTCCACCCTATTACTGGTTTTTGTTGTTATGGTGTATAGAGCACCGAATGGAGTATTTGAACTTTAAAGCTAAAAACTTAGTTATTAGGAATGTTTCTACGTTTGATTATTTCTGTACTGTACACTTCTCTTGCCATTTCCACAGGCTCATTAAAATTTAATTTCTGTCACATTGTTGATCATAGGAATCTTAAAAACACTAAAACAGGCATGCTTATAAACTTGATATTTTTTATCGCAGTTGCAAGGGAAATTCTGTTTATTGTGACTATTGTGGGATTATTATGCCTTAAAGATTAAGTGACCACTGCTTGAAAAAGAATGAAAAACTGAAAAAAAAAATGAAGAAGAAAAAGGGGAGGATAAAGTAAATAGTTAAAAGCGGAATGTGGTATTAAATTCATTTTGAAGTTGAGGCTCAGTTAGCCTCACATTGTAAATAACTATCAAAGTGTCCTTAACTTGTAAATTTCATATTTCTATTCATCATTTCTTTGTTCACCATGCTGTTCTATAGGAACATCAGTATGAGACAGTATTTGGTTTTTTATGCGAAGGATTTGGATACATCCCTAAAGCTAGTGAGAGCATCAAAGTTGTCCTCGAAAGGGATAATCAAGATGATGATGATGATGATAAGCACGATGAAGATGGATCCAATCATCAAGATGTGAAGGTATCAAATATATAGACTTGAGGTAGGGTAAATGCACTGAATGGATTTCAGTGAAAAAAAACTAGGAAAGAAAAAGCATGTAGCGAGCAATCATGCAGTCTCTTTCATGTGTAACTTTCTGAAATGAATGCTATTATGAGGGCATGCATTTGTTCATGGAGGAATCTGCTTTTATATTGCTCATCCTATTAGATGCTTCATTTGGTGGCTCAGTTTGCTAAACTAAACTTAGCAACTGATAATAATAACTCACATGCTCCATTTTTGTGTAACATTCAAGTTTAAACATTTTTTCTGGAATATAAATTATACATGTGATAACTATATAGGCCAATGAGACTAAATCTCGAGCATCCAATTGAATAACTGATTAATGTGAGGGAAATGTTGTCCCTGGTGCAGGTATTAGCTGCAAATGCCTGAAAGGTTAGTGCTGTTTGTTTTGCACAGATAAACAAAGGGAAACAATGTCAAAGGCCAAAGAAGTAACTCAATTGATTCCCAAAATCATGAAGAGGAAAGGGAATGGTGACAAATTGGATAACATTACCTATGCTGAGAATGCATTTCAAAAGAGAGAAGAGAATTGCCTTTTTGATCGCTATGTAGTTGCTGAAGATACATAAGCTAATGGAAATTAGCTACATTGCATATTCTATTTTCTTTTTCTTTAGCTCCTTTTTTTTTCCTTTTCCATATTCTTACTGCACCATGAAGAAGAAACAGAAGGAAACCACAGGATTACTAGATAGACTAACATTGTTAAACTTGTTCACAGATGTAGCATCAACATCTGAAATATCATTATGGTCAATTGTGCATATGCCAGTGTCTCCGGATCATAAATTCTCCAATATTGGAGTCTAAATGGCCTGAACCTGGGTATTCCTACTTTGCAGACTGGCTTCTCTTTTGAGTGTACACTGACTGAAGCATGAGTATAGGGTGGAAAAGTGATCTGCATGGCACGTAAGGCATAGTTGCATTGATCTGCCTTGATTCAGGCAACATCCGTAAGAGCTCTTTCTCCTGCCTTATCTCCTTAGCTCTCTCCAACTGTCTGAACCTTTCTTGCAGAAGAGCAATGGATGGATGAACGATTGCTGGATCAATCTGTCTATCTTCACTCATTGGAAGATGAAGAGGAACCTCAATGGGATTGATTCAAGCACTCTTTAATGAGACCTCATACGCATATGCACATATATATAGGACATAGCTAGGACTTAAGATGATTATTTTAATTCATTCATTCTGGCTATTTGATTCTGTATGACTAATAGTTGGAAAACAAAGGCAGCTGAACTGCAATGTGTAACAAGGCAGAGATATGTGGCCATGTGAATGGGTGAAAGTACGTCCAAGGAAGAAAATGGTCAAGAGCAAAATCTGAAGAGATGTGGAAGGTAGCATTTGGAAGTGTTTCTTTAAGGAGAATAAAAGACTGGGTGCGTTGTGTGTCGGCTTGTCGTAGAGGGCTGCTGGTATGCCTTTGGAGTCTTTTTGGTGGGGGATTTGGTCGGACCTTCCCATTATATTTAGCTTTGAACATTCTCTTTTTTCATTTGTGGACAGCACAAAGCTTGAACACTCTGAACACAATGCTTGAACACTCTGAACACAATTCAGACTTTGATGTTTTTATCAAAGAAAACCCTTTTATGGATAGGAGAGAAAAGAAGAATCAACCAAAGCCAAGTTCCTCTTTCTCTCTGTACATGTTCTGTGTTGTCTTGAAGCTTTTGGATGGAAATGGCATGGAAGATGAAAGTTGAGGTATTAGATTGGATCTGTGGTTGTTGGGGGACTGAAATTTGAAAAGCAACATATATCCTAAAGCTTGAGATAGAGGTCTTATTACCCCAAACAAAAAAATAGAATTCGCATGGATTTAAAACAAGTGTCATCTATTGAATTTACTGATCTCATCAAATCATATTTTAATCCACATATTAACATATGTAATTAAGTATAGAAAACAATGTGAAAGAATAATTTTTAAAATGATAATAAAAGATTTTTGATATATTTAGTTTAAAAGAATTTTTCTCTTATATTTATTTTTACAATCAAGTCTTAATAAAAGAAAATGGATTAAAAAATTTGAATTTTTTCTTTGAAAAGTAATTGTTCAATCATAGTAGTATAAATGATGATTTAAAAAAAAAGTTAAATTAAATGATATTAAATTATAAAATAAAACAATGATTATTAAATAGAAAAGACCTCAATTATCATAGTCTAACACAGTTTGGATTACATAATATTTTTTCCTCAAAACTGTAAAAATGCTGCAATTTATAGAATTAATTTTACATTGATGGCTCCCACCAAAAATTAAATAAAATAAATAAGCATTGACGGCTCAAAATAACAAACCGAAAACCGTTCATACAAGCCTAACCCTTTGGCCCAAAAAACAAAAAGCCCAACCCAAAGTCCCCAACGTTCGGCCTCTTCCCGCCGGCTACATCTCCGCCAGTGTAGTCTTACACCGGCTTTCATCGGAATTACTTGCTACGCCCTCAGACCTTCAATTCGTTAAGCTGGACAAAGCGCTTTCAGACGAGGACTGTACCGATTAGGGAGTTGCATTCTTCTTCTTGTACAGGGTTCGCTTCTAGGACGAGTGCAGCTCATTGACCGCCACAGCCCGTCTTTCCGGCAACTGATAGTAAGGAACTTTCTTTTGATATTTTTATTTATGGGTTTTAGTTCTTGATAATTGGGTGTTGTTTAATTATGTATGGAAAATGCAATTTCTTTGTTTGAAAAAAAAAATTATGGAGTCCTCTGTCCTCTGTTTCAAGTCTGAGCCTTTGCTCTCCTTGCTGCTACCCTTAGGTTCTTTGATTTATGTTTGTAGGGATAAGGATTTTGTCAAACTTGGTTATTGGTTTTTGAATTCTTGCTTTGCCTTCAATTTTTTAGTGTTTAGGGAATCGATACTTTTGGAAGAAAATGGATATTTTCAAAGTTATTGGGGGTATATCATAGATGGACAAATAATACAGTTTCCAGTACCACTGACTACTTTATGACACAATTTTGATTTCGATCACTTAATTTGAATATTGATTGCAATCCAGGGATGGAGGAGGGCTGCTGAGGGGATTGGGTGTTAGATTTATGACATTTGGTGTGAAGATGTCAATGAACCAACAGCTTCCTCACTTGTCTGGTTCAATGATTTTATACTCCTTGTTTTCGCTATTTATCCATTTGAGTTTCTTCCTCTAATTTGTTAGACTTAACTTGTTCACTTTTCATGGATCTCATAGCTTCTTCAATTTTAAAGACCTAATTGCCAATGGCAGCTTTTGGATTCTTGAATGTTGTTTTATATTTAAACTAATTTTTTGCATTTGAACCTGTCCTCTAGCATGATCTGCCCGGTAGACTTCTTTCTGTGTGCATAGCACAATATTCACATCATCACTCTTTTTCTAGTTGGTTTTGATTTGTGTATTCTATGACTTCCTTTCTTGTTGGTTATTTAACTGGACCAGTGGATGAATCCTAAAACACTTTTCTAAGAGAATGGTAAGCTTACTCCATTAATCCAAAATTCCCCACAAGGCTTTCACCCGTGCATTTTCAGGTTTACAGAAAATTAATGACAAGGCATTAATGTAACTCAACTAATTAGCCAAGAGACTAACTGCAGCTAGGTGTAGAATTGTAGCTTTACTCTCATTTTTTAAAACTCTTCCCTCTTTTTCCTGCCATATGAAATAAACCATGGCTGCAAGAGAACATGCCTTAAGAGTCAAAGCCAGCCATCCTTCCTCCACCTTTTAGGTCCTTTGCTCCCATTCCAATGACCAACTCAAAGGATTTCTACTTATAATTGCTTCAGAAGTATATCCTTCCCTGTTTTCTTACTGCATTCACATTTGAAGCAAAGACAACTGCAGGATTCTTCAGCATGCAAGGATAAAACACACTGTGTATCAATTATCATTCCCCTGCCCTCTGTGCTAACATATATGCTTTGTTTTAAGTCGTTTCAGAACAATTAGCCAAATCAAGAACAGTGCCTAGGTAAACCTTTGCTAGATTGATTTGATTTGATTTGAATTTTTATGAGTTATGTTTTTTATTCAAGAATATGATCCAATTATAGGTTACAATCATGACTTATGTTGACAATTTAGGGAATGTTGTGTACTCTGTCAAAATTGAACCATTTTAGTTAATAAAATTTCTTGCATTACTTTCCCTTTTTCTTTTTTTTTTTTTGATAGACCCTAACTTTTATTTGGATTTTTTTTTGACCGCGTCAGGTATCAAGTGATTGTTAAAACTTATCTCTGCTGAATCTTTGTTGAATCTCAGCGTCACTCGAGAATTTGACAAATCTTGAATGATTAGATCTCTCTTCCAATAAGCTGGTAGGTGAAATTCCAGAGGAATTGATATCTTTAATACAACTTTCTGTTTCGAATCTTTCAAATAATCAACTGGTCGGACTCATAGCACGGGGAAAACAATTCAACACCATTAGTAACGATTCCTATGAAGGGAACTTTGGATTGTGTGGGTTTCAGCTGTCGAAATCTTGGGATGGAAATGGGACAAAGGAGCAACCACCAGGCTCCTTCCACAGAAAAGATGAGTTGTGGGGATTTGGCTGGAGAGTTGTCTTGTTAGGCCATGGTTGTGGATTGGTATTTGGATTATTGATGGGTTATCTTGCCTTTCGAACTGGAAAACCAAAATGGTTTGTGACTTTGTTTGATGGACAACCAAATCAAAATGGAAGGAAGATGAAGAAAGCCAGAAGACATGTTCAAAGAAGAAACCAGTTGCAGAGTTGATGTTTTAGACCTTCTAAATTAGTGTTTCCTAAAAAAATATTGCTCTTTTGATTCAATGTTTTGGTTTTGGATGCCTTCTGTCTCTTGTTGTAGTATCTCTGTTTTTTCATAAAATCAACGAGTTCTCTCTTTGTGCTTTGTAATGCTGTCTCAATTCTTAAGCTATATGGTAGAAGATGAAGTACATTTTGTTGTCTTTTTTGCAATAAAAAGAATTTGCTGTGTCACTATACAAGTGTATGAACATCTGAAAAATGAAATTTTGCCATTTCTAACCCCATGACCTTTCATGAATTTCTCATTT